CTACAGAAGCAAATTGGAGTTGCATGTGTTTCATTTGGGTCAAACACTGCGTAAGAAGCTCTTTCTGATTACCTTCATTTTTTTCATGCTTCGGAGGCATTTTGGGTTCACCATGAAAGCACAAAAAATGATACAGTATGGAATTAACAACCCTTTTCGAGCAAGGGTTCTCTCTGCCATTTGCATTCATCCATTGGATTTACATGTAGGCAAATTAGTTGAGAAAATCACGCATCAAATGCCATGTGGACAACCATAATGGAACAATCCAGAAGATATAATAATATGATTAAACTTTTAAGCAAAAATCATTTGATCACTATGGTTTACGCTTCACTCTTTGTGGCCTATGCAGATTGAAACTGCTTGTAAGATCTGACCTATTTTAGTTCTAGTTCACAATTTCAGCCCATGTATCACAATACTGTTATTTTTTTATGACCATAATATGGGTATATTCTCATACAATGAATAATGCAGCTGGAAAATATAATACTATTTTAGAAATATAAAATTGAATTGTTTTTGCAGACTTTTTTTCATAAATAATACTATTTTTAAAAATATTTTTCAAAATAGCACATCTAGAACATTATTTACACAACTAGCACTTTTTACTGTTCACGTATTAAAATAATCAATTATTTTATATTATGATCGATTATTTCGCGTAATCAACTCTCGCTCAAGCGAAGAAACCCTTCGCTTGAGCGAGGAAATCTGTAACAAAGGGGTAATCTCGGGTCAATTCTCGCTCAAGCGAAGAAACCCTTCGCTTGAGCGAGGAAATTTGTAACAAAGGGGTAATCTCCGGTCAATTCTCGCTCAAGTGATGAGTATTTTTGCTTGAGCGAGAAGTGATTAAAATATGTGGTGACCAAAGTTGCGTTATGTGGCTAACTGCGTTGGACGTTTAGTCTGTGGTCAATTCTCGTTCAAGCGATGAGTTACTTCGCTCGAGCGAGAATTGATTGGGTAACTGCGTTGGACCGTGGTCAATTCTCGCTCAAGCAAGACATCCATCGCTTGAGCGAAGAAATTTATAATCGATTATAATTTGAACTAATCGATCATAATTTTAAAATAATTGAATATACAAAATTATGATTGATTATTTCTCTCTCGCTCAAGCGAAGAAACCCACTACAACAGAAAACACATGTAATAGCGGTTCCACGTTAACCGCTATCTAAAATATACTTTTAAATAGCGGTTAACGTGGAACCGCTATTATATGTTCACTTTTAAGAGCGGTTAAAGTGGAACCGCTATCATATATGTGTCACTTTTAAGAGCGGTTCCACGTTAACCGCTATCTAAAATATACTTTTAATAGCGGTTAGTTCTAGAACTGCTATCTAAAATCTCGGGTCAATTCTCACTCAAGCGACGGGTACTTTCGCTTGAGCGAGAAGTGATTGAAATATGTGGTGACCCAAGTTGCATTATGTGGCTAACTGCGTTGGACGTTTAGCCTGTGGTCAATTCTCGCTCAAGCGAGAAACCCATCGCTTGAGCGAGGAAACCTGCAACTATTTACAATGCTGAGTCACCCACCCAAGTCAGGATTCACATGTCTTTCTGATGCACACTAGTAAAGAATCCAATGCTGAGTTACCCACCTAAGTTAGGATTCCAATCTTGGATTCCCTACATTGGGTTAGACAAAAGCAGAAGAATCCAAACATATTTAAAGAGATGTTGACCCACCCACTTTGCTTGGGTTTTGTGTGCGTCAGAAACCATGTGAGGGAGCATTGGATTCAAACCAATGGACTTCATTATAAATAGACCACTTTCATTCTTTGAAGTTCTCACATTGCACACTCCTAAATCTCTGAAGCTATTTGCATTATTTCTTCTTCTTACCTTTAGTCTTCTTTGTGTTCCACACTCCTAAAATGGGTGTAGTGTCTACTATTGTCCACTATGATGGTTTCATGAACCCATGTCCCATGGAGGGAGTTACCTTCAATACTGGGATTGCAAAACTTGTTCCTTTAAAGAGAGGAATTTTTCTACAAAGGTTGAAGAAGTTGATCCACAAGAAATTGGAGAAAGAACCCCACGAAAATGTAGCAACCATCTATTTTTGCTGCCCAACTAGACTCGGAGTTGGGATCAACAACTTCATTCCTGTTGAGTTGAAAGATGATGACGACGTGGAGGCCATGTTCGATGTTCATGATTTAAACTCAAGTCTATGTGGTATTGAAATTTTTGTTTCATTTAAAACTTCTTCTTCTTCATACCCCAACACACACTCACCAGAAATTTCACCCTTACCCTACCAAGCTTTCCCAAACACTGACCCAGAAATACCCACACATAATGACTACATCCTTTTTACCCAACTTCTAAGTGGGTCTTCCACCAACATCAACGAAGAACTACCCACACAAGAGAACAAAATTATTGGCCTCCCAATTGAAGTCGTTGATCCTTTTAGTGAGGATGAAGACGAAGATGAAATTCTCAGCCAACACCAAGATGATTCAGAGGACGAACAACCACATATCCCTACACATGCACCAAACTTCATGGAACCATACAACCCACCACAACATTTTCTTAACTTTGAAAATCACATTCAACAACAAGACCCAGAGTATGGTCATGCGTTGGACAAAGAGTCTTTTGTTTCTCCGACAGGAACTCTATTTCTTGGACAACGTTTCATAACAAAAGAACAAGTTCATGATGTCATCAACTGCTTTCACATTGTCAATCATTGCACATACAAGGTGAAAATTTCAAACCAAAGTAGATATGTTGTTGAATGTGTTGATAACCAATGCAATTGGAGATGTCGAACAATATTGCGCACAAGAGAGCAATATTGGGAGATTATGAAGCTTGAAGGGCACCATACATGCGTTTCGCCATTAATCAGCCAAGACCACAACAATTTGGGATATAAAATGATTTCCCAAACAATTGGTCTACCACAAAATTTGTAGTAGAAGAAACACAAAACCCGCGTGAAGTTCGACCAGCAGGGAAGTTTGCAGTTCACCTTGATGAGTTATGGTGTGACTGTGGGAAATTCCAAAAATTTCACATGCCTTGTTCACATGTTCTTGCTGCATGTAAGCATGCACACCATGACTTCAACAACTATATTAATTCAGTGTATACCTTACAACAAGTTTCAAAGGTATACGGAACACAATTTGGGTTATTGCGAAATGAAAAATATTGGCCAACATACACAGGACCTACTTTGTGTGCAAATCCAAAAATGAAAAGAACTTCAAAGGGCCGACCAAAATCAAGTCGTATAAGAACTGAGATGGACATTACAGAAAATCAAAGTAGGATTAAAAAATGTTCATATTGTCATACCCCTGGTCATAGCAGAAGAACATGTTCCAATGTTGCACGTGCATCTACTTCGCATCATTAGATTGTGTTAGTTAAGAAATGTCTCAATGTATGAAACTTAGGAGTTTTTCAATTAATTGAAAGTGATGAAGATCTTATTGAATCATTTGATAAAACAAAGATCTTGTGGGTTTGATGAAGTCAAAGGTTATTTAAAGAACTTTTTCCTAACTGTTTTAATCGATTAAAACTTGTTGTTATCAGTTAAAATAACTTAGAAAGTTTTGTGAAAAGTTTTGAAGAAACTCATTCTGCAGGAGCCGCATAAGCTGAGTTTGATTGTTCTAGTTTCTTTTCTTTGTTTCTTTACATATTATGGGTATCTGGAAGCATGAGCAAGAATTGACCACAAGTTAAACGTCCAACGCAGTTAACCACATAATGCAACTTGGGTCACCACATATTTCAATCACTTATCGCTCAAGCGAAAGTACCCGTCGCTTGAGCGAGAATTGACCCGAGATTACCCATTTGTTACAGGTCTCCTCGCTTAAGCAAAGTTTCTCCGCTTGAGCGAGAGAGAAATAATCGATCATAATTTTGTATATTCGATTATTTTAAAATTGTGATCGATTAGTTCAAATTATAATCGATTATAAATTTCTTCGCTCAAGCGATGGATGTCTCGCTTGAGCGAGAATTGACCACGGTCCAACGCAGTTACCCAATCAATTCTCGCTCGAGTGAAGTAACTCATCGCTTGAGCGAGAATTGACCACAGGCTAAATGTCCAACGCAGTTAGCCACATAACGCAACTTGGGTCACCACATATTTTAATCACTTCTCGCTCAAGCGAAAATACTCGTCGCTTGAGCGAGAATTGACCAGAGATTACCCCTTTGTTATAGATTTCCTCGTTTAAGTGAAGAGTTTTTTCGCTTGAGCGAGAATTGACTCTAGATTACCCCTTTGTTACAGATTTCCTTGCTCAGCGAAGGGTTTCTTCGCTTGAGCGAAAGTTGATCGCACGAAATAATCGATCATAATATAAAATAATCGATTATTTTAATACGTGAACAAGTAAAAAGTGTTAATTGTGTAAATAATGTTCCATATGTATTATTTTAGGAAATATTTAAAAAAATAATATTATTTATGAAAAAAAGTTTGCTTTTGCCATCTTATACGAATTTGGTAAAAAAGAAAAAAAAAAACATTTATTTTGTACAATACCCTCTAACGATTATTTAGAAACTATCGTGAATGAATCGAAAAAGCCACGAAATTACCAGTAATAGAAATTAACTAACTTTGAAAGTAAAATGCAATGTTTGATATCAGTAATAATATTTTTAATGAAAAATCTATGTGTTGATTTTGTTTAAGTATGCTTCAATACAACGTGCCGAAAATAAAATCCGTATTAACCGTTTCCATCTTTCTTACACATAAGCGTTTGCAACAACCCACGGCGCCATAAACACCAAAAGTTTCAACTAAACGCAACCTCCACCTCTTCTCTCTCTGCGGACCAAAACACACACACGTTCCCGTATTTTCTCTCCCATTCACATGCTGCACATGCACACACACTCCTCAAAATCACTTCAAAAACCCTAAACCCTAAACCATTCAGATCTCTATGCGCTGAAATTCAGCCTCTAACACGGAGAAGATGCGGATTCCGAGCAATCGCGAGTTCACGAGAATTACGCCCTCCGCTTTCAGCTACCACCGCCTCAAATCCTACGTCTCCGACTGCAGAGCCGTGCTTCTTCCCTCCTTCGGTGGGCCCCACCTGCTCGAACTTCGCTCCCACGTCCCAGTCCCTCCGCTCAAGCCGCACGAAGTCCTCGTCCGCACGCGCGCCGCGTCCGTTAACCCCTTGGACACCCGTGTGAGTTGCCTTGCTGTTCCATTGCTTTCTTTTAAATATTTTTGAACTGTTTGTCTGTTTTGAGAATTTCTTTTTTAACTGTGTTGAGAATTCCTTGAGTTGTTTTGAAATTTTCTTACTGTTTGTCTCAGATGCGTGCCGGTTACGGGCGTTCTATTTTCGAGCGGCTGTTGCCTCTCATTTTGGGGCGCGACATCAGCGGTGAGGTTGCGGCGGTTGGAGCTTCGGTGACGTCGGTGAGTGTGGGAGAACAGGTTTTTGGGGCTCTGCATCCCACTGCTGTGAGAGGCACTTACACGGACTATGCGATTCTCTCAGAGGATGAGGTTACTCCGAAGCCAGATTCACTTACTCATGTGGTATGCTGTAGTGTTTTGATTACTGGTTAGTTAGGTCTATTTGAGTCATTTATATTGGACTAAGTAGCTTGTATTGCAGTCAATATGTGCACTGGTTCTGCAAAAGTGTGGGGTTTAATTTACTATGATTAATTCATAACAGTAATTGCATTTTCATTATTTTCATCTTGTACACTCGTTTGACTCTCTACAATCAGAGCTATAACAATAATATTTGTCTCTGTATGTCAAATGCATTCATTGGTTTTAATGTGAATCGTATAGTGATAAAGATTACCCTTCGTTTACTTGATCATTGAAGCCTTTCCTATTGCTTTTTTTTTTTTTTTTTTTCATTTTAATCTTGTAGGAAGCCAGTGCCATTCCTTTTGCAGCATTGACAGCTTGGCGTGCTCTAAAATGTACAGCTAGAATAAGTGAGGGGTATGTTTATATTGATGAGATTATGATTTCCATTGGTGGAAATTATATTTTGCTTATTATTTTCTATTCATTTTTTGTGTTTTTATCACCCACTAAATGTTCAGTTTGCTAAAAGCTCTCGTTCCACTCACTTATATCCTTTAGCTTATCTCAAACAGACAAAGGATATTAGTAGTGGGAGGTGGAGGAGCAGTAGGGTTCATTGCGATTCAGCTTGCAGTAGCTGCTGGATGCTCTGTTGTAACTACTTGTGGAAGTCAAAGCGTAGACAGATTGTTAGCAGCTGGGGCAGAGCAAGCTGTTGATTATGTTGCTGAGGTGGTGTTGGATATTCTTTTGGATCATTTTTTTCCTGTTAGTAGTTCAGACATTCCAATTGTGACAAATATTGCTGTTGAAGCTTTTTGTTTTAAAAAAATTAAAAAATCATAATCGGGAAAATAACTATAATTAGCATTCTAGTTTATCAAAAACAGAAAATAAGATACTAGAAAGGGAAATAAAACTATTGAGACATGGTTGTTTCTTTTTTTAATTTCTTCTTTTTGTATGTTTCTAGACTAGGGTTAAGGGTTTGGACTGAGGCCCATATCCTCTATTTTGTATTCCTTTTTTTATAAATACAATTATAAAAGTTCTTTAGACACTATATTGGAATCCTAATAAGTTTTCTCAAGTTGGTATCATAGCGGGCAAGATTTGATACTGATTTTCAGTCATCCTTGTCACCTTCGCCACCATCTCCATTTGGACCGATAAAGGTGTGCCTCGAGGAGTGTGACCCACCCTCACAAATCACTTCTCCATGCACTGCCCCATGTGCCATCACACTGAGCTGAATGATGACTTTTCGGAAAGGATAGGGATGAGAACAAAGATGTATTACCAAAAATGTGATCAAAGGCACGTGAGTCAATGATCCATGAATTTTGACTTTCTATAGATTGTGAGATGCAAGTTGTTGACAAACTGGGAGTTATAGATGATTGTGCCAAGATGTTGGATTTCAACCTTAGATACTCTTGATATTCTTCATTAGAAAATTTTGGTTCAACATCATCATTTTTAGAGATATGGGCAGACTTGTCAAGAAAATCATACAAAGCGAAACAATTCTCTTGAACACGGCCCATCCTTTTACAATATAAGCATTGAGGACAACCTTGACCAACACGGCCTCTTCTTGCATCGTCCTCCTTTTCCACGTGTGGAAACCATGATAGAAGATTCCATAGGTTCATGATCATTTTTACTTTTAAAAATCGAAACACGAAGAAGACGAGTGGTCAATCTTTCCATAGATGGGATTTCATGCCCTATTAGCAATTGATCTCTAACATGTTCAAAGTCAGGATGCATGACACGGAGTATCATCACCATACAAAATTTATCTAATTTCTTCTTGATTTATTCTAATGACTCCACTTCCAAGAATAGTTTTAACTCTTCAACAACAAATTGAGCTTCACTCATGAAGGATATAATGTCATGATCAGATTGTTTAAGAGAGACAAGTCTATTTGTAGAATCATACAAGCGTTGAATATCATTTGCAAAGAGTACCCAATAATTTGGGTTCCACAGACTGCCACAATAGTGTACAGAGTTGAAAATCAGTTATCTTCCATTGTTCAACTTTATCAGGAGGCACTGTACTTTCATCTTGTTCAAGGTGGTTATGGAGACCTTGGCCAAGGAACCACGTTTCAATGGAAGCAGACCAAGAGAGATAAGTTTTTCCATTCAATTTCTCAGAAGTGATGGTAGGAGTGCTTGAGAAAGAGACAACAGGTCCAGAAGACATGTTTGCTAAAGTTTTTTTTTATAGGAGATCGTAGGGATAATGAAGAGATATAGTGGCGATAGGGCGGCGAGAGCGGGGCAGCGGCGACTAAGACCAGTAGAGCGGGATTAACCGCTCTGATACCAACTTAATATTAAAAAGAGAGAAATATTTTTAGAGGAGTTAATCACACCACTCTCATGATCCCATATATATATATATATATATATATATATATATATATATATATATATATATATATATATATATATATAGATTCAGATAGGTACAACTCATAAATTACATTTAAATTCAACTTCTACCAACCTCGTATTAATTCTAACAGCCACCTGAAATACTTCTAACAACCACCTATCTACGGTAATTGTAACAGTGATCTTTTAACATTAAATTTAATTACTTTTGTGGATCACAACTTGCGAATGGAGTCAATGAAGAAGGAAGGTTCAAAGGCTGTTATACAAAATCCACCCTCATTTCCACCACCACCCAAGCCACCTGGTTCTTGTTCTTGTAGGAAAAAAAAAAAAAAAAAAAGACATCACATGCAAACAGAAAGGCAAATGAAGATCATGGTAATGAGGATGAACAATGAGATCAATTTTCTACTATACAACCTTAAGGACAAGGTTGATTTTTAGGTGGGGTGTATTATTAGGGTATAAGGGGAAGGAGAAGTTAGTAAGATAGTTAGCATATCAATGAGTTAGTTAGTTGCATAAGGTGTTGTTTAGATATAAATATTTTTTTTTTGTAAATTGAGCATTAGCTCTTTATAAAAGGATAAATCCTTTGTGAAAGGGATATCCTTGGAGGAGAGTTTTCTCCTAATTATTGTTCTTTTCATTCTATTCAATAAAGAATCTTCCTTTTCTTTTTCTATTAACTCTTGGTTCCTAATTGGCACTTGGAAACTCGTCCCTCTTCCTAGCAAAAAGTTTTTGGGTTGTAGATAGGTCTATACAGTTAAGGTAGATAATAATGGTAAGGGGGATTGTCTCAAAGCTTGTTTAGTGGTTAAATGCTACACTCAAATTTATGGTTTTGACTACTGTGATACCTCTTCTCCAGCAGTTATTATCATTATTAGTCTTTTTCTTATTATGGTTGCTATTCGTCATTGGCCCCTTCAGCAACTGAACATTAAAAATACCTTTCTTCATGGTGATCTTGAGGAAGAGATTTATATGGAGCAACCTTTTGGCTTTGTTGCTCAAGGGGAGTCTAGTTTAGTGTGTAACCTACACCGGCTGTTAGGTTCTGTGGCAGAAAGAACCTACGGTTCCACGCAAACTCACGTCTCTCCTCTTACACACACAGGAAACAATACTCACAAGTACTTTTATTATTGCTTTTATGAACAATACTCTGATTACAATCAACAACTTCCCCTCACAGGATGTAATGATCCTGTTAGTGAACTAACTTCCCAAAATAATCCCCCTCTCTCACCCCTCAAACAACTATATATAGTCTTATTTAAAAACTATGCTCTGCCACCCATAACTAACTGTAAGTTAGTTATTATTCAATTTTTTCCTCCTAACATATACTTTCCAATTCCTAACATTACCCCCTCCTGGCCCAACAATCTTGTCCTCAAGGTTGAAATCAGGAAATTGATATTGCATGGTAGCTTTGTCCTCCCATGTTGTTGCATCAGGTCCTCCATTCTGCCATTGCACTAAAACCTGCTGTACAGACTCCTCCTGTCCTTCCTGATGTATGCATCTCTTGTCAAGAATCTTGTAGGGTAGACAAACTGTAGTCTGACCCTGTAAAGCTTCTGGTAGGTCTTGTTCAACAGGATGAGAACCTACTGCTTTCTTTAGTTGGGAAACATGGAACACCGGGTGTATCCACGCGGTGTCAGGGAGTTGGAGGTAAAAAGCAACCTGGCCAATTTGTCGCAGAACTAGAAAGGGACCATAGTACTTGGCTGAAAGCTTCGGATGTAATCTAGTTGGCATGGACACTTGGTGATGAGGACGAATTTTTCAGAACACATAATCCCCTACGCGAATAGATGAAGGTTTTCTGTGCTTGTTTGCAAACTTAGCCATTTGCTGTTGAGCCCGAGTCAAATGGTACTTAAATTGCCGTATTGCTTCATCTCTCGCCAACAAATCTTGGGCTACTGCCTCTACTGCTGTTTCTCCTGGGACAAAGCGGTGTAAGGAGGGTGGTGACCTACCATAAACCACTTCAAAATGGGTGGTTTTTACTGCTCCTGGATAGCTAGTATTATACCAATACTCAGCCCAGGGTATAAACCGAGACCACACCTTAGGTTGTTCAGAGTTAAAGCACCTTAGGTATGTTTCCAAGGTCCTATTTAGAACCTCTCGTTTGTCCATCCGATTCTGGGTGGTATGTCGTGCTCATGTTGAGCCTAGTGCCCTGTAAATGAAATAGTTCTTTCCAAAATAAACTCAAAAATGTGGGGTCCCTATCACTTACAATAGAAGCTGGTATTCCATGTAACTTAACCACTTCCTTGACGAAAACTTCTGCAATAGTTCTGGCTGTGTAGGGGTGTTTTAAGGGAATAAAATGACCATACGTGCTTAACCTATCCACAACCACCAAGATTGCATCATAACCATTGGATTTGGGTAGGCCCACTATGAAATCCATGCTTATATCCTCCCACACAGCATTAGGTATAGGTAGGGGCTGCAATAGACCTTGAGGTGAGGAGGCCAAGTATTTGTGCTGCTGACACACTAAACACTCAGCCACAAATTCTGTCACCTTATTCTTCATTCCAATCCAATAAAGGGATTGCCCAATCCTTCTATAGGTCCTATAAACACCCGAGTGGCCCCCTATTGGTGTGATGTGATATTCGACTAATAGCTTGGGAATCCAGAGGGATGTAGCTGAAATAACCAACCTGCCTTTGTGGTGTAGTCGGCCTTGTTCCAAGGTAAAATAGCCATGCGAGGCAGGATCCTGACCCAAATCTTGAATAATCTTTTGCAAGACCACATCCTTCTCCACTTCCTTGGTTATTGATTGGAAATCTTGCCAAAAAGGTTTAGATATGGCCCTCAACTCCTTTTCTTCCTTTTCTATTTCTTCCCACTTGCGAGATAGGGCATCATCCACTTTATTAGAGGACCCAGTCTTGTAAACTATTTCAAACTCATAACCCAGAAGTTTGGCTAGCCAATTCTGCTGGTTCTGAGTTGTAATTCGTTGCTCTAATAAATACCGCAGGCTTCTCTGATCTGTAAAGACAGTGAATTTCTGGCCCAGTAAATAAGGTCTCCAATGCTGGATGGCTAGAACCAAAGCCATGAGTTCCTTCTCATATATGGATTTTGTGAGAGGAATCTGACAGTGCCTTACTGAAGAAAGCTATAGGTTTTTTGTTTTGGGATAATACAACCCCAACTCCACTCCCCGAGGCATCACATTCTATTGAAAAAGGCTCACTGAAGTTGGGAAGAACTAGGACTGCAACTGTAGTCATAGCCTGCTTCAGATTCTCCAAAGCTTCCTCACTCTCCCTAGTCCACTCAAAATTTCCTTTCTTCAACAAACTTGTCAAGGGTCGTGCTGTCTTACCATAATTCCTGATAAACCTTCTGTAGTACCCTGTTAATCCTAGGAATCCCCTTAGAGCCTTAATGGTTTTTGGTTTGGGCCATTTAGTTATAGCTGCTAACTTCTCCTCATCCATAGCAACTCCCTTAATAGAGATCACATGACCTAAATACTTCACTATTTGTTGGCCAAAAGCACATTTCTTTTTATTAGCATAAAACTGCTGTTGTAACAATTTTCCCAAGACCTGCCTTAAATGTTGAATATGATCCTCCCAAGTCTTGCTATAAATTAATATGTCATCAAAAAACACAAGAACACACTTACGCAACCATTCTTGGAGAACACTATTCATGGCACATTGAAAAGAAGCTGGGGCATTAGTTAGCCCAAAGGGCATAACTAAGAACTCATAATGGCCTTGATGAGTTCTAAATGTTGTCTTAGGAATATCAGCTTCATGCATCCTGATTTGGTGGTAACCTGCTATCAAATCCACCTTAGAGAAAAATCTGGCTCCATGTAGTTCATCAATTAATTCCTCAATTACTGGAATGGGAAATTTATCTGCAACCGTGGCCTTATTGAGAGCCCTATAGTCAATACAAAATCTCCAACTTCCATCCTTTTTTTTTACTAATATCACTGGGCTGGAGAATGGGCAGTCATCGGGCCTAATGATACCCATCTTCAACATCTCTCGCCACTGTCTTTCTATTTCAGCCTTTAAAAAATGTGGGTACCTATAAGGTCTAACATTGACGATATTTTCACCTTCTTTAATGGGGATTCTATGGTCTACCTGGTCGTTGGGGAGGAAGCCCGAAACATCCCGAAATAACCCACTGAATTCTTCTAAAACACCCTCCAATTCATTTGTCTGTCCAGTGGTTAAAACTGTTTCTCCCTTTTTACTGCTGGCCCCACCTGTTGCCATATCCCAGAGTATAGTTATGGCCTCTATATCTGTCTCTTTTATCAAAGCCTGCGGAGAAATCAATTTTTTTGTAAGGGTAGGGTCACCTCTTATCTCAACTTGTTGTCCTTCCCACTCAAAATTCATGGTTAACGATTTCCAATTAACCTTCACTTCTCCCAATGTTGCCAACCATGCCATCCCCAATATCAAGTCTACTCCACCTAGCTCAAAAAGGAAAAAAGGTTTCCTGCACTTCATAATTACTTAGGCTCACTTTAATATCCTTGCAGCACCCACTGGTTAACTTCTTTTGCCCATCCCCAAGCTTCACACAATAAGGCCTCGTCTCTTCCACTTGCAGACCTAGTTCTGCCACTAAACTTGAAGCAACAAAATTGTGACTAGCCCCACTATCAATCAGGATCAGCACCTTTCTCCCTTTAATCCACCCCGACAGTTTCATGGTGTTTGTTGGTGTTAACCCTCCTGCTGAAAACAAAGAAAGTTCCATCCTTTTATGTTCCATCTCTACTTTTTCTTCGTCCTCTTCTTCCCCTCCAGGACCCTCTTCTTCTTCATCTTCTGCCATGATGATTACTCTTAAATTTTTTTCTGGGCACCTATGACCTGGACTGTAAGGGCCCCACAATGAAAACACCTTCCTTCCTCCCTTCTTCGTATATATTCAGGATATGACAGATTCTTCACTCCTCTTGTTCTAACCTCCCCTATAGAAGTATTTCCTACCTTGGACCCCCATGAAATATCCCCTGTCCCCTTCCTGGCAGTACTGTTATTACTGGGCACTCCTTGGGAAGAACCAGATCCTTTAAAGGTCTCGGTTCTTGATATCTTGCTCGTTCCTCCTTGATAAAGGAATCCAGAAGTTTTGTTCGGGTACACATTTCCTCCTCCTCCACTTGTGTCTTTCATGACATCTTCAACATCTCTTGCTACCTCCATAGCTCTTAACAAATCCTTTGGGTCGTGAGGCCTGATTAGTTTTCGAATTTCAGTTCTTAGTCCTGCCAAAAAATATCCAAGAAGCTGGTCTTCCTCCATTGCTGGGATCTGAGACACTAAAATTTCAAATTCCTGAATATATTCTTCCACACTTCCTCCTTGTTTAATGGCTGCCAATCTCTCAAAGATTGTACTTCGTTCCTTTCTCCAAACCTTCTATTCAAAGCCACAGTGAATTCTTCCCAAGAAGGATTCTTGGTTTTTTGTTTCCAAAATCTGAACCAATGATTCGCATTCCCTTCCATGCTGATAAAAGCCAGACGCAATTTCTCTCTTGGGTTGATCTTTTGAATCTCAAAATTTTTTTCCGCCCTTCCAATCCACCCCACAGGATCAGTTCCTTCAAACACAGGTAGATCCACCCTCTTCACCCACTGTCTCTGCACTACTTCTTCTTCCTCAGAATCTTCTTGCTCCAATCGTCCTCCTATCCCCCCTTGTACCGAATTTTCACTCTTCTCAGATTCTCTGTCACTTTTCTTGAAATTCTTGAGTAAATCTTTCATTTCTTGAATGACATTTCTCAGCTCTGTATTCACTTTTTCCTGTTCACTGGTCCACCGTTCAGCCCACCTTTCCAACACTTCTACTCTTCCCTCCATGGCTCCTTGATTTTGGATCCGGCAGGTCGGACCAAATTGTTAGGTTTTGTGACAGAAAGAACCTACGATTCCACGCAAACTCACGTCTCTCCTCTTACACACACAGGAAACAATACTCACAAGTACTTTTATTATTGCTTTTATGAACAATACTCTGATTACAATCAACAACTTCCCCTCACAGGATGTAATGATCCTGTTAGTGAACTAACTTCCTAAAATAATCCCCCTCTCTCACCCCTCAAACAACTATATATAGTCTTATTTAAAAACTATGCTTTGCCATCCGTAACTAACTGTAAGTTAGTTATTATTCAATTTTTTCCTCCTAACATATACTTTCCAATTCCTAACACCGGCCTCTTTATGCAGACATTCCGAGCTTGATTTGGGAAATTCAGTTATGTTGTGTAGTTGTTTGGCTTGAAAATGAGTGAGGTAGATCACTCAATGTGTATTGTCATTCCTCCTCAGGAAAATGTGTTTATCTTATGGTTTATGTTGATGATATTGTCATTACAAGCAATGATTACACTAAGATCAGTCAACTGAAGAATCATCTATTTGGTCACTTCCAAACCAAAGATCTTAGTCAGTTGAAGTATTTTCTTCGTATTGAAGTAGCCCAGTCAAAGGAAGGTGTGATCATTTCTCAATGGAAATATACTCTTAACATTCTGAAGGAGACAAGTTTAACAAATTGTAAGCTCATTGGTAGTCCAATGGATCCTAATCAGAAGTTGATGGGAGATAAAGGAGAAAGGTTTTTAGATCCAGAGAGATATAGGAGATTGGTTAGTAAACTCATTTATCTTACTATTACCAGACCAGATCTCTCTTATGCAGTTGGAGTAATTAGTCAATTCATGCAAAATCCTTATGTTGATCACTGGGATGCTTTGATTCGCACTCTAAGATATGTTAAAAGGGCCCACAAGGATTGTTATAGGAAGATAAAGGTATTACTCAAATCCTAGGTTATTGTGATGCAAATTGGGTTGACCATTGATAGAAGATCTATTACTGGGTATTGGATCTTTATTGGAGGGAATATGATCTCTTGGAAGAGTAAAAAGCAAAATGTTGATGCTTGATCTTGTGCAAGAGCTGAGCATAGATCTATGACACTTGCTACATGTGAACTTGTGTGGATCAAACAACTTCAAGAATTAAAATTTGGTGATAATGAGCAGGTGAGGTTGTTTTGTGATAATCAAACAACTTTTCATATTGCTTTCAATCCAGTGTTTCATGAAAGAACAAAACATATTGAGATTGATTGTCACTTTGTTAGAGAGAAATTATTTTCTAAGGAACTTGTAACTGAGTTTGTAAGCTCTAATGAGCAACTTGTAGACATTTTAACTAAATCCTTGAGGGGACCTAGGATTCAGTTCAAATTTTTGAAACTTGGTGCAGGGAGTGTTAAGACATGTTTGTTTTTCTTTTTAATGTCTTCTTTTTGTATGTTCCTTACACTAGGGATAAGGGTTCGGGTTAAGACCTATATCCTCTATGTTTTATCTCTTTTTCTATGAATACAATTATAATAGTGCCTTTAGGCACCGTGTTGGAACCCTAATAAGTTTTCTCAAGTAAAACATTGATTTTAAAATAGAAAAAGGTTCGAGTTGATGAATGTGGAAAATGACTTTTGGCTCCTGTTCATTGGTAAGATAAATTTTTCTTTTTAAAATAAATTTTTATAGTAAGTGGGAAGTTAATGAAAAAATAATTTGTGGATAAGTAAGAACTTAGAGGGGATTAATAATCTAAATTGTTTGTCTATTTAATTTTAATTGTTCAGTAAAATTTATATAGAAGAGAAGTGGCAGCTAAGGCCTTTTTGTGGAAGAAACACAAATAAATCCTATTCCCATAAGGATTGAGACTCTATTGTCTAATGCTACCCATTAGTGAAATTTGAGGATTAGAATATGAGCCAATTAGACCTAATTAACATAAACCCCAAGCCCAATTGCAATCCAAGACAAAGATATATGAAAATCAGTGGTTTTCTTGTAACTTTATTCTGGATTGACAGGATGTTGAATTGGCTATAAAGGGAAAGTTTGATGCTGTTTTGGACACTATTGGTGTGTCAGAGACAGAACGGATAGGCATTAATTTTCTGAAACGAGGTGGACATTACATGACACTTCAGGTAGGATATGAAAGCTTATGACCATTTTCATCTTTATCAAACATGCAAATGTTTTTCTTAAAAAGCAACATATGTGCTTCAATCTTCTATATTTGCTATTTCATTGAAGGGTGAGGCAGCATCATTGGCTGATAGGTATGGACTGGCTGTTGGGCTTCCAGCAGCTACAGCTCTTTTGTTGAATAAACAGCTTCTATACCGATGCACTCATGGAATAGGTAGAATTTTCCAGACTATTTTGTTATTTTGCTTTGGTACATGTTACTCATTTCCTTTGTAATATATATCTTCTGTTTGACATTGATAGGACTGGTATCATAACAGCGAGAAAAAAGGGTTTTTTATTTGATGAAGCTACAGAGAAGCCCCTGGGAAGTGTTTCATAATTCCAAATATTTCAGGATGTCTAGATCCACTCCTTATACTGCTTTCCCTATCACAGAATCCCCTGGGTAGCTACTGGTCTACAGTTTATAACTGAAACCTATGCTTAACTGGCTTAATTAGTTGCAATGCAAGCCCATTTCCCTTATTTTCTAACATAATTCTCTTTTGAGTAACTAATGTAGCTATCCACTAACAAAACAAACTAATGGGTATCTGTCACCGTTTCCTCAAGGATAACTGCTTTTGAATACTAAAATAAAGTCCCACTCCTGATCGAATTGATGACTGAATTATGGTGACCAAGTCAACCAGACCACTGTAGCCCTAAGCTAACTTTCAATCCTCCTAGGTTAAATACAAATGTGAGTGTATCCATTCATCTCTAGTGCTCTGTTTACTGAGGCATTTTTGACAATGAAACAGTGTTATAGTTGCAGGTTTGCAGCTGAAGTTTATGAAGGTCATCTATCTTATTCTATTGGGTCTGGCTGATGAGGATGTGGGGACAACTCAGTTTTTGTGACTTTCTGTTTTCTTTCCCTTTTCCCTTTTTATTGTATCGGGTTGGATTTGTTAATTCTAAACTCACTTTCTTTCTCCTGGATCAATTCTTCACTTTCCATGACTGAATATGGTTCTAGTGGTTCTTGTGATGGCGAGTGTTCACACGCAATTTCCTGACTACTCCAGCCTCTTTTTCTCCCTTTGATTGTTCTTCTGTTGCTGTTTTTTTTTTTCCGAGGTCCATCCACCAACTTTGATTCTTTCTACCATGATTCTTTCCTTTTCTCTTGATCCTTAAAATTTTGTCTTCACTTCTATTTTCGTCATCCAACATGATGTATCTTGGCTCTTTATTGTTGATACTTGTGCCCATCAAATATTAGAAACAAAATCTGTGGTTCTTCCATCCACCTATTGGCTGAAATTCTACTTCCCTTGGCTCTCATGATCGTTTTATATGTTGAGGATTGCAAGTACTTTTTGCCAGTTTTATTTCATCATCTCCTTCAACGATTCTATTCCCTGCCCCAATGTTTTCAATTGCAGCTTGTTTCAGGTGTTGCATCTCTTCATGTTGACTGCCACACCTGCTCCATTCTTGCTTCAAGCTGTTGGTTTGACAAGATGATCTGCCCTTAACAGATTTCCAATCAAGAAAGCTCCAACTATCTGCTGTGAATGAACTTACAACTCTGGGCTCAATTGATCTTGGACCAATTGATAGAATTCTTATCATAACCGTGAGAAAGAACAGTTCTTTTTATCAAATAAAATTAGGGAAAATGGCCCTAAGAAGTAAAACAAGATTCCAGATATTTTTGAAGAGGTCTTGATCCACTCCTTACACTGCTTTCTCAATCGCAAAAGTTCTCTGAACTCTTTATAGTTATTCTTATATAACCGAATCCCATATTAACTGGCTTAGATAGTTTCAAGCCCATTCCCCTTTTTCTAATAGAAACCCTTGTATTTCGTGGATTAACCTAACTAACTTATTACCAAGATACCAACAACAACAAAGCCTTATCTAACTTATTACTAGCATAATTGACTAAATAATGGATATGTATCACAAACTGCCTTTTTGGATACACTTCTCTGTAGGCACATTTAGAAGGGAAAAAATAAAAATGAAATAAACTTCTTCATAAACAGAAATTAGCTTATCCATAAGCTATTTGTATAAACTCTCTCATATGACTTCTAAATTATTATTTTTAACTCGTACATAAGCTAATATTAATTTATGGAAAATTTTATTTCATTTTTTTTCTCATAGAAGTGTTTATGGAGAAGTTTATCCAAATGGACTCAGTCTTTTTGCGATACCTAAGGTGCATCTTACACCACTCCTCTCATCCATAGTCTACTGTTGGCTAAAGAAGTGGCTGAGGTGGAGTTAAAGTCATTATTATTTATGCTAATTGACAGAATGCTTGTGTTTAATCTAAAATTATCACTGGAAATTTTCTCCTGCTACCTACCTCACGTAAGCGGAAAAAAGTTTTGAAGTAGAATTCAAGCATGGATAAAATCTGGACCTGAACCAACTGAATTAAAGAAATAGAAGTTATGAAAATAGGTTCTGCTGTAATTTCTTTATACTCTATGCATCTGGTATTCCGTTAAGGCAAAAGCCTATGGTCTACAGGCTGTTATAATCTTCAGTATTATACAATTAGCCATTGTCTTAGAATTAAACTTTCAGCAAATAAATCAAAATAGGCATAACCCAACTAAATGCCATGTAGTCAGTGAATTGATTTTGAAGGAAATAGCCATTGAGACTTGAATGAAAAGATCAACAGAGAGTATTTTGCCATATTAGTATGTAAAACATTATTCACCAGAATGAAACATAAAAAAGTAGAAGACATTTACTAGTATGTAAAACTTTGCGCGTGTTTTCAGTTGTTAAACTGTGTCATACAACTTAAAAATGCATCTAGAATAATGATGTATGAGAGCATAACCAGATTAAGCCTCTCTTAAACCTTTTAGCTTCAGGTGTTTCAAGATATCAGATATTCATAAATGAGATCTTTACATGTTTTGGGCAAGAATTACGCCGTGTCAACCTTCCTTGTAGAAAAAGTTAAAAACACATTTATTTTGATTTAGCAGGCAAATTATTTTTCTTCTGTACATGGTATTCCCTGTTGATTATAATTTAAATTTTATCATTGCTGTAAGCTAGAAACCACAAGGGTGGTGTTTATTTCCTTGTTTTACCTGCGCTGGCAAATGCCTGGTGAGGGTTTTTAAAACAAATGTGAAGCAAAATCCCCTTTCCTTGTGATACAGAGTACTCATGGACATACATGAGGGCTGACTCAGACGGTTTGATCGAGATTCGAAAGCTATGTCAAGCTGGGAAGATGAAGATACCTGTGGATAAAACGTTTCCAATAGCACGAGTAAAAGAGGCCCATGAGGCAAAAGACAAGAAGCTCATTCCAGGTAAAATAGTTCTGGAATTTGATTGACGTCCCGAAGCTGATCACATAGCCGCTTAAACTGTTTATTTATTTTGCTTCATTCCTGGGTCCTCTTTATGTTCCGCATTTAATTGAAAAATTTTGAGTTTCTTTTTTCTGGGTTTTCACTGTATGATATGGAAATTGGAACTCTGTAAATTTCGATTCATAAAAAATTGTAAATTGATTGGTAAGTTTGTGTGGCACAAGCGACCTTTCTTTACCTTTACCTTTACAACTGTTTTAGTTTTAGTCATGTCCACTTGTGTTGTCGTGGAAAGTGTTGATATGACGTTATACCTTCATAACCCCCATGTGTCAGTTCCACTCACCATCAGTAGCCAATCCATGTTATCTTGAATTGTGACATCGAAAGAGAACATTGCTGAATTATTATCAGAAAGCTTGTTCATTGTAGTAACGTATTGTGCTACTATGGAGCGGAGACGTAGGCATCATTTGCTGTTGAAATGGCCAGATCTTAGGAACATTATCGGGCAGCATTTGTCTGCTTACTTTTTTTAATTATTTCAACTGCTAGGAACAGGCTATCTTCCGTTCTTGATCACGTGTGGCATTCGTGATTTATATGTTATGAATTAAAACTTGTAACCTCACTTGGATACAACTATTCAATTATTTACAGTCTGGTGGGACACAATCTAACATGGACTGCATGCACACTTTGACAAAGCCCCTAACAGTGGTCAGCAAACCAGTTAGCTGTGTGGAAAACAATTATTTTGTACTTTTTCTAACACTGTAAATTACGTTTGCACCTTTTTGGTTACTCTTGTATTATATTACGCTAATCAACTCCGTAATTATCATCGTTTAGAAAAAAAGTAAAGATACCTTAAAAAGCCTCATTGGCCACTTTACGGCATCGGCTTTACCTCAACCAGGCCTCACGCAGGAAAGCCCAAAATACCAGACAAAGTTAAAGTCTTCTACGATGCAAGTCCATAAAAAATATTATTGCACAATCTGCTTTTCATAGGCGTCTTTGCATAATGCGCTCTTACTATCGGTTTTGTTAAGTTGTGTAAATGTATGGTCAAACCCCTTCTTTTTAAGTAACCTTGACCCACTTATTAATTTGGTCATCATTCAGCTTTGGAGTTAGGATCATATGACCGAACTGTTGTGCGTGCTTCACTTGTAGCTGGACCACACCTATCCCCTATTAAATGCTTTACCTTGTTGCATGTGTGTGACGACGGGATTATTGAGATGATGCTTAAAGGGTGTTGTTCAGCAATATCTGATTTTACACTAAAATTTAATCAAGGTCGAAAAATGAATGCATTAATAGTATCAAGAAATAACATATTATCAATAACTATATTGTTTAAATTTATTAAAATCTCAAAATAAATAATTTTATCTAATATTTTTTATTTTCAAATTTATTATGGTCTAGATGTGCTAGTTTGTGTGCATTATTTGGCAGAAAAATGACTAACATTTTCGATTAGCTATATTTAGTCATTAGAAATAAGATACTATTTGATTTAAAAAATGTTTGATATTAAAATGATCGTCAAGACAATTGATAACATTTTGGCAAAGGCAATGGATGAGTGGTTTTCTCTGCCACGCGTCACATGTGCACAGATTTCTATGATATCCATGGGAAGCATTGTAAACAGCACAGTCCTTCGCAAATGGGTCCCTATGCTTGTTTCAGAATCTTGTATCTACTCTCCTTTTCATGCGCGTGCCTGCACCCATCTCATGCCTACAATACATCTTTTTTTTTTTTTTTTATTGCCCGGTTTCTCTTTTAAATTCTTTATTCAATTCTAAACAAGGTAAAATTTTGACTTCTGTATCTTAATCCATTTATAATATTTATATCAAAATATCAAATTAAAACTTATAATTATTCACGTTAGTACAAATCATGTTACACTTGCTTTCATATTACGTAGCTTCAATCACCACCAAAAATGTATCAATGTCAACAAAAAACTATGGAACAACCACCAACCATCTCTTCGCTGAAGGCCGTAAACAAGTCAATTCTTTTCTTGAAATGAACACATATGCATTCCATGGTAATGGAATTCTCAATCTCTTTCCTGCAAAACATTTGAAAAAATTTGTGGCTAATCCCTTCATCCTTTTCATGTAGCACAAATTACAAAAGAGATATATATGCTGGTTTAGATATATCAAATCACATAAATTAAACAATTCCGAATCATGATAAGTTCTTAACTTGTAAGACTCAATTTTAACATGAAAAATAACCTTTAAAAAAATTGATCAAAATATACAACAAAGTATGGTGTAATGTAACTAACGTTAAGAATTTAAAGTGCAGTTAAAGGCGCGTGGCATAAAAGGAAGCAGTGATGAGTATGATAGGGTAGCAACAAGGATGATTGGAGGCATGAAATTGCTGTGCTTGTAGCGTGTGGTCACGTGCGGTGCATCTTCCTCCTTCTTCTTTCAACCTCCTCCCTATCCCATTCCCATGTGACATTTCCCACCCTTCTTCTACCTTCTTATTTCTTATCTGCCATTCGCACCCTATCATTTCTTTATTTTCAAAATAACCATTTTTTAGCATCTTCTCCACCCCCTAAATAACCTACTCATTACACATCATCAACACCAAAGAATATTATATCTACAATCAATATCATACTATTCAACTAAACTCAAACAATATCATACCAAAATTTTCATTCTTAATATTGATTAAATATATTCAACGTGCCCTGGAAAATGAAAAAAAGTTTGCAAAAAAAGAATTGATAATAATAATACCAATAGCGTGTTGTATTGTGAAAAGTGAGAGGTGGGAAAGCCGAAAAAGCAAGCATTTGTTACAGACAGACACTGTACTGGCAGAGTACAGTTTGGTTATTTAGTATTTACATTTACACTTACAAAACAATAGTGTTACTACTGCACTTCTCAGTTCTCACACCACACGGATGGACACATGAATTCTGTGAAAGTGTCATCGACTTTGATATTCCCAAGACCAAAACTTTGTCTCTCATTTTCCTTCGTCTCCTTCTATCATCTATCTGGCCACGTTCCTCCACACACTATTTTACAGCCTCCTACTACCAATTAGAATACATCTTTATAAGATTTTTACATCTCAATTTGGATCACATACACATATTATATACGTCTCTGTTTATTCATTCATCTTGGTGTAGTCCTTGATTCCAACCATTTCCCATGAGGCCACCTGCGAACAACATTACTTATGATTTATCTAGAGGTAGAATAAAGTCCATTATTGTAGAACACACATTTCATGAATCTTATAAAAATTGGAAATGTTGACCGGTGAATTAAGAAAGTTGATGAAGTATATGAATTTGTTTGCATGTTAAGCACTCGGTATTGATCAATAGTTTTGTATTCAAGAAAACCATTAAAAATGATATTTTTTTTTATAGACACTCCTATAAGGGTGTTTGTGCAATTGACACTTTCTTTCTTTCTTTTTGTAACAATATGATAGTGCTTATTGCATTTATTGAATATTTCTATTGTGTCCTTTGATCACATTTCTAGTTTGTAGGCATTAATTACGCTTAAAGAATGCAAGTAACAGAGCTAATCAAATTTTGAGAGATTTCCTTCACATTCAATGAGGCTGATAGTGCTTATGATTTTGACAAACACAATACGGTTAGGTGGGCTTGTCTTTCCTTCTTTTTTATTCCTAATAAATAGCCGTTGGGTAGGTTTTGTTTTGCAAGTTTTATTAGTTGTTTGTGGTTGCTAGTTGTTGGTTAAGATTTTCGTACCATTATTTGGTGTTGTGCTAATGTTTTGACATAGGTTTTCATTAAGGCAAAAGCTATATATACTTAGGAAGAAAATCACATTTAAACCAGAAATAACTTTAGAAATTTCAACAATCATTATCTAAAATAGTAGTCTTGATTTTACTGAAAGTCTAATACACTCATGATATATGCCCAAAATCTCCTTTATGCGAGTCTTACAAGAATATAAACTCTTTTATCTGTTATTTTTCCTGTCAAATTTCTCTTCCACTCACACACTCACAACACCTTTCTTTTCCTATTCTTTTTCCACTACTTTCTGTCTTTACTAAAGATGTTGATCTGCCAAAAGTCTTGGGCACGCAGATGATTTTCTTCCCCTTTTCTGCTGAACACGAAGACCAACCTTGAGACTTGAGTACCTCACTAATAACAATTATCATCCATGATTCATCCCCAAACTCCATTTCACCACACACATGATTCATACCACACTCTCTGCATTCTCAAATACCAAGTGCTTCATCGAATCTTTCCATAATAAAAAAAAATTATAATCATTAAAAAAATAAAAATAAACTAACAATTCAATATTAACAAAAATTCATTAACAACTTTATTTATTAGTAAAATAGTAATTTTTAATTAATTTTAAATCAATCATTTTATAAATATAATATTAATAAACAAATTGGATAGATAAGATATTTTTTTCTTTTCTTATATCAAAATATCAACACTATTAAAAAAAACACTTGTGAATCATGAATCTGGGGGAAGGATTATTCCTTCGCAATGTATATAGTTACACGATAAGGTGACAAAAATTATGTAAGAATAAGTGAGAAATAAAAGTAAATTTTATTTTAGTTATATACAGAACTTAATTGAGAAAATGTGCGTAAGAAATAAAAAATAAAGATAAAGTACCAGTTGGCAACAAGACCTACACTCTAGCCATAGTGGGTTACATTTTGATAAAGACAAACAGCATTTCGTCATCTTCCATTAAACACTTTCCTCTCAGTGTCTCTCTCTCTCTCTCTCTCTCTCTCTCTCTCAGACTCAGTCTCACTCATACATAGTAGCCACCTTTCAATCTGTTACTGAGGATAATAGGCCACTCCACCTCACAACCGAGCAAAGCTAAGCACTCTTCCATTAAGCACTCTTCCATTTATTGACTGTGATTTGTAGAGCTACCATTCTAAAAAATCATCTCTTGTGTCACTCAATGGCCATGCCATGACTTGGCAACTGTTATTCTGAAACCAAAAATAAAAGAAAAAGGAAAAAGGAAAAAGAAAAAAATGGAGACAGATAGAGAGAGACCCCATCGCAGCACAAGTAGCAATAGCAGCAGCACAAGCGAGTTGTTTGTTTGTTTCACCTCCCGTCTGTCCTCTTCATCCATGAAGCTCTCTTCCAAGTCCATTCTCAGCCCAAGCCGCAGCAGAGACCCTCCTCAGATTTCCCTTTCTTCTTCCCTCAGCAGGAGGCTCAAGAGCAATGGCAGTATGAAGGGAGGCCAAGCCTCCCCCATGTTCCCAACTGGTGGCAAGAGAAGAGGGTGTGGCTTTGAGAACCCTGAACCTTCTTCTCCCAAAGTCACTTGCATTGGGCAGGTGAGGGTGAAGACCAAGAAGCAAGGGAAGAAGATGAGGGCAAGGTCTAAGAGGAGAGGGGAAGCTAGCTTTAGGAAGGCTGAACAAGGTGGTGCAAATGCCAATGGAAATGCAAATCCTAATGCAGATCTCACTAGACAGAACAGCCAAGGGTTTCAGCATCATCAGAACTGTTTGAAGCATAGGAATCAGAGATGGGTGCATCTTCCCTTGACATTATGTGAGGCCTTGAGAGAGTTCAGCTGCTTTTTTCCTTGCAGGCCTTCTTGCATGTCAAGTGAGAAGGAAAAGGAGAAGGGTGGTGGAGTGGAGGGGGGAGGACTTGTGAGAGAGGGTTCGTGTGGGAATGGACTTGGAAGGTGGTTGGTGGCTTTGCAGGATGGAGATGGGAAGGGAAGGGGGATTGAGTTGGTGATGGAGGAAGAAATAATGGAGGATGGAAGAGAGAGAGGTGAGAGGAGCCACAGCCAGAGAAGGCATGTGTTTGAGGACATTGATGTTGATTTGGTGGTAGGAGAGGAAGAAGAGAAGAAGAATGAGGAGGCGGTGGGAGAGGAAGAAGATAAAGCAAGAGTTAGCATATGTATTCCTCCAAAAAATGCTCTTTTGTTGATGAGATGCAGATCTGATCCAGTCAAAATGGCAGCTTTGGCTAACCGTTTTTGGGAATCACCTGTTCACAAAGACATATGTCAAGAAAATGAAAAAGAAGGGGAAGAAAATGATGAAGAAGATAGTGGGGATGAAGATGAACAAGAAAGAGAAGACGATGACAAAGAGCAATCCGTCAAAATGGAAGAGGATGAACAACAAGTACAAGAAGAACAAAAAGTTGAAAGCGAAACCAAAGAAGATACCATTTGTGAAAGAGAAACAGAAACTATGGTGGTGGCCAGTGAAGAAGAAGAAGAATGGCAACAACAACAAGAAGCTGGCAAGGAAAGCTATGAAATTGAAAGCAGAGAAAACCTAGTAAGCAAAGAGTTTCATGTTGTCAAAGAAGAGAAAGAAATGGGTGATGACGATGAAAAGGACGACGATGAAGAAACAAATGAAAATGCCATTGAAAAAGGTGATCCTTTAACACACCCTGAAGCTCATTCAGATCTCGACAACCTTAAAACCGAAGAAAAAGAGGTTAATCTCCTAGAGGGTAAAGAAGAAGAGCGAGAAAACAACGAAAGCTCAGAACTTTCTTCCACACGAGAAACGTTCACAGCTTCAGAACCGGAAAATGACGAAGCAGAGCCCGAAACAGAGGCAGTGACGGCCGAAACTTCAGAAGGGTCAGCGGAGGAGGAGGAAGACAAAGTGACTACAGAGACTGAACCGTCAGACCCGACCCAAGACCCAATTTCGGTTCCCGAGTCAAAGGAGCGAGAAAACAGGTCAAAGCACGAAGATAGAGAAAGGGAAACTTTGCCGGAGTGCTTGTTGCTGATGATGTGCGAGCCGAAGCTATCGATGGAGGTGTCCAAGGAAACGTGGGTGTGCAGCACCGACTTCATACGGTGGCTCCCGGAGAGACCCGCTGCCGCAGGAGGAGTAGGCGGCAAGAGGGTAGCCGGCGAGACGCTCACGAAGTCCAAGCCGAAGCCGAAGCCGTCTCCGCCGCTGATGCAGCCACCACGATCATCGTGCTCGTTCCCGACGGCGGGCGGCGCCGCCGGTGTGTCGATGGCGGCAATGATAGAACAGAAACTGGTTGGGTCCAAATCTGGTAATGGGTACGAGCCGTTTGTGCTCACGCGCTGTAAGTCGGAGCCGATGAGGTCATCGACTAAGCTGGCCCCGGAGGCTTGTTTTTGGAACAACAGGAAGCTTGAGCCGCACCCACCAGCGGCTCAGCTTGGTGTCGGCGCGCCGGCTGGTGTTGGGTTTTGATTTTTATTTTAATTTCTCTCTTCTCCAAATCTCAAATTTCCCTTTTTTTTTTCAATTGACAGAATAATCAATTGCTGTTATTATTATGTGTAGGTTACTGCAAAACTTTGGGCAACTTTGGTAAGCTAGGATTTTGAGTATACTCTTATTTTGCTGTTTTTAGAATGTAATCCTTTGTATAAAAAGTTTTAGTGATGTTATTTGTTTTGGGGTCCATTATTACTTGTTAGTGAATTTATAATGAGTTTTAATTTTAATATACTTCTGCAATTTTAACTAGTAATTTGGTATGATTTCATTTGTCAACAGGTAACTTGGTATATGATGTCATTGTTAAATAGTAGTTTGGTATGATTTCAAGATAGATGTGGTAAAAGTTAATAACTTTATTATATATGTGGATATATAAAGGAAAATATTGTAAATTTGACACTATTAGTGAATGTGGTATTTACTTTTGTAATGGTTGGTATATTTCTTAGTTGGAATGTATTATGGAGGGGATAATGGAAGTCCCTACTTGCCATTTGGGATGAGATGGTAGTGGTTGGAGGCTTGAAGTATATGCGTGCTCTGAAGGGTATGAAAATAAAGTGAGTGGGGCATTTTGTTAAGGTTGTTGTGTCTGGTTGTCTGATGCTATAATTAGGTTGGAATTCTTGTAGACTTTGGTCAATGGTCGTTCATCGTTTTAGAGAACTACTGTTCTGTGATTAATTAAGCTTGTGTAAATGTGTTGTTGTCATTATCAAGTTTCATGTAGTTGCATGTGAAATGGGGAATTGATTCGGAGGTACAGAGTATGTGGCGTGGTGAATTGAATTTTAGGGAACACAGTCAAAGCATAAGTTGGACTAGTTAGTTGTGTTACAGTTGTATTTATTACTATATATAGATTTTTGGAAGAGTTTTGTTTTTCTTTGGTATTTATAAAATTCAAAATTAATAAATAAGAATCTACATAACTATTTTATTAAAACTAAGAAAATATATTCCTTTAGCAAAGCAAGCATTTGGTTGGTGAAAATGTCTTAAATAGTGTTTGATTTGTCTGTGTACTCATAATCTTGAATGAGTTTGAGATAAATATTTTGAAACAGCAACTACACCAAGGATAAGCTGTAAAGTTGGCATTTTGTCTTTCTCTAGAACTTTCAATGTCCATTGCATTTGCAGGGTTTCCTTGTTTTTCCATTGCTTTGCCGAATTTCAAAACGTTTCATCTCTCAACACAATCAATTCCCAAGGAAGCAACACTATAGTATGATTATTATATAATGAAAGCTTTCCCCCTCTTTCTTTGCAATAGGTAAAGACAAAGGACAATAAAGAATAGCAGAGAAGGAAACAATTCATGTTTATTCAATTAATTTAATCCCTAGATTCACTGTCTTTGAGGCACCTCCTTCTCTTGACCTCACTATGTTTAATGTTTCAGAGATGAGATTCGATTTACTGAATCAAAAGTTAAACTAATTTTTCACAATATTAACATCTATTTAAAACATTGATTATTTTTCATCAAATATTTTTTCATACACATCAAATATTAATCTACTGATTATATGTTTAATATATATTATGATCTATTAAACATTGCATACACGAAACAAAAGACCCTCTTCACACACATCAAAACATTTCTAGCTACCTTTACTGATTATTTTTTTTATGTATGAAAATGAATAAGTGTTGAGAAGCATGTTAAAATCTTGTGAAAGTGGAATCTGAGGTGTTCACAAAACCAGGGTTGAGACAGTTGCTTCTTGCTTAAGAAGTTTCATGATCACACTAGCTTTATTATTATGGAAAAAAAGATGGAGTGATTAGGAATCTTGAGTTGAAAAAGGACGAACAGATAAAAACACAATGGAAGCTGGTAACATAAAGTGTTTTCTGCAAACTTTTTGAAAGATTGGAAATGGTGTAGGGATGGGGGATAGACATTCTGGCACCCACAAAACTTGTTAGTTGGCACATGGATAGCAGAAAACCAATAATGAAAGAGGCCTTGCCAAAGCCTATCAAGGAAAGTATTTGCCCTCTTTGTTTATGAATGTGCATGGAAAGCTACTTTTAATTATCAAAGGCAGAAGAAACATTCAACATATAACCAGTTTTTATTTTCATGGGACAAATGTTACATTAAAAATTTATACTTACTGAGGAAAATCTTTTTATACTTGTCTACAACAATAGTACATTAATCTTGTCTATTCAATTTTACTGTGTTTGTGTGTGAATAGCTAAAATTTATTTTACTTGAACATGATTTTGATATCTTATATAAGAGTGAATAATTATTGCAAGATTTTTTGTGTGCATACTTGATTCGCCACTTTTGGAGGAAGAGAATATAAAAGGTCCCCCACCAGTTTTGCACCGACGACATTTTTTTTTTTTATATGTTACCATGCAAGACATCAATGTGAAAATTATTATCTTAACTAATTACGCAACATTTTCATTTATCGTTGTACCTACATGAACAAAAATTCATTAAATAAATAAAAGAACGAAAGTGTTGGAAATCAAACCAGAATTTATGTAAACAAATAATTAAGAATCTCTATACTTTTTACAAGATTCCGTAAATTCAAGCTCATAATTATAAATAAGACATTAAATGGAAAAAATTATAATTTGTTATATATGGTTAAATTAGGAAAGATATTAGGACATTTGTTATTATCTAAATAAATTACCTCACCGATTCAATAATTTGGTTACTACGTGATCTTCTGCTTTAGAGATATGAATCAAAATCTCGTCCAAAATTATGATTTATCCCTATAAATTTTATATAATAAAAATCAAATTATTTAATGAATATAATAACAAAATCTCATGTGGTAATTTAAATATTTTAGATTTAAAGTAGAAGAACTCATTAAAGAGGGCTTAGGATAGATTTCAACCAAATTTACTTAATAAGAAATATAGCTTATTATAATATGAAGATTTTTGGACCGCAATAATTATCTTTCCTATAAATGTGTCTTACATGTACAATCATTTGTTTACAAAGGTTTATGCACTTATACCATCTTTTTGTAATTTTTCAAGGAATAATCTCCATATATTGAAACACCTTAGCCACCAAAGTAGATTCGGTTTCAATCCATAGTTGATGTCATCCTTTAAAGAAAGTTGTCTTAATGCAGGGAGAAGATGCTCCAAATTCAACAAAAATACCAAAAGAAAAACACCTATGAAAAAAGAAAACCTCCTACATACTCCCCATTATAGCCCAAAACATTCTCCCAATAGCATCTAATCAAGTTGAACCTCCAACAACACCATGAATATTTCACTTCACTACATCATAGCTTGATAATAGACTCGTAGATCCTAAATCTTACCCGACCTTACAACAAAATTCAAAAAGCCTCCGTTTTAAAGATGGACAATGCTTCATTGGACCCCTAGTAATGTTTACTAGGCTCCATGTAAGAAAATGAGAGTTTTCTTAGAAAATAAAAAATAATAAAAAATAAAAATTTTGTTAGAAAATCCGGGACAACCGTCCCGAATCCCAGACGACCGTCCCGCTTGATTTGGTGGCTCGAGACGCCCGTCCCAATTCCGAGATGCCCGTCCCGACTCATTTCTAGTCTAGGATGCCCATCCCAAAATCCGAATGTCCGTCCCGAGGCATTTTCTCTATCGAGACGGTCATCCTGCTTGACAAAATTCGGGACGACTGTCCTGACCTCCTTGGTGAGTGTGCCTATAAATAGGACGTCAGACCTCACTATTTCACACACCTCTTCACCCCTAGGCATTGTTCCAGACTTCGAGTGATAATTCCAATTGTTCGTTTGGGAAAAAAAGAAAATCGGTTAAGAAAGTCTCCTTTGAGACATCCGACTCTCAATAGTTTAAATTTTTATTTGTTCGAGGGAGGAATGTTCGTGTAGTGCAAGGAGATTGCCAAAAAGCATCCTTAAGTTTAAAAGCTTATAAAAGTTCGCTTCGGAGGTTCTTCTCAAAACCTTAATCTTTTATCGCTTTCCTTCGTGTCCATTAGAAATTAGGGTGATATAGACATTTAAATAAATATTGCAAATAAATAAATGAAAAGGGTAAAAACATCTTTATTTTATGAATTAATCCATCATAGGGAACCTGAAAGGGGTGCTGTGAGGTGTTAACACCTTCTCTATGCGTAACTAACTCCCTTACCCGACTCTAGGTATAATGACCAAAGTTGTTTTTTTAACCAATGTCTTTTTTATCCTTTTTCAATGTTTATGGTTAAAACATTGGTGGCGACTTCATAAAACCCATTTTTGCGAAAACCTCACTTTTAAGGTTAGTTCAGTTGTCGAGCATCCTAAAAATGATGACCAAACTATTTTACTAAAAAGTGAGATTCAGCCATCGCGTCACGACTGCTCGCACATTTCGCTCCTCGCGCTCTGCCGCGAGGGGGACGACAGCGAAAAATGGCGACTCCACTGAGGAAGCTTAGAAAGTTGATCCCATTTAGTGGTGGATTAATTCAAAGAAAATAAAAGATTTAAAATCACGCTTTTACCGTTCTTTGTATATATAACATGTTTTATTTGTATGGCTTTAATAACTATTGTATGGTTATTTTCTGCACTTGTTTGAAATAAATTGTATACAACCATTGCACACAGTAGTCCCTCTATTCCCCGGGGCATGAGTGATAAATCTTAAGGAGTGGGTGACATGTACGACCAACCGTGGTAATGGCCCTAGTGCCAGCAAGTCATTGTCGGAAACCACCACTCAAGGTGATAACCCTCCTCTCTCAGTCTATAGGATGTCGACATGGCCTTTGAGCCACACAAGGTTTTAGGGCTGAGAGATGCAGGGACCCTATAATGGGGGCACCTTGGGGACCTGGCCTTGGTGAGAATAGTTAGAACCTACCTTGACTATGCACTTTTTTGCAGGATACCCCTACCTTGTGATTAAATATCGTCACCTTATGCGTGGATGGGTGAATTGTTTGAGCATATGGTTGTTAC